AGGGAGGGGGCCTGCGCTCACCGGGAGGGCGGGTGGCAGCCCCCCACCCACCTGCAGCCCCGCCTCTGGCTGTGGTTCTAGGTGGCCTTCCTGGCTGTGGTCCTGGATGGCCCTAGGTGGCCTTAGACAGCCCTAGATAGCCCTAAACCACTCTAGGTGGCCCTAGACAGCTCTAGGTGGCCCTGAGTGGCCCTAGAAGACATCTCATGCAGTGAGCAGGGTGGGAACAACCTCTCTAGGAGGAAAGAGCCTTTGCACCTGAAAGGTGCCGAGGACGGAGGTCACCCTGCCCGTGAGCCAGCAGGAGGGAGCGAGTGGGGCTGGGCAACAGCCTCTGCGCCCCAAACAGGACACTGAGGTTCATTTTAGTTGCAACTTTCTCTCTCTCTCCAGGTGGTAGAAGCTTATAAGCAAGGGCTCAGACCAGCCATTGGCTATGAGCTCAACCCCTGGCTGCTGTGTCTCTCCAGCTACCGGGCCTGGAAGGCTGGGTACCATGGGAAGGTTTCCTTCCTGAAGAAAGATCTGTGGAAGGTAACGGTGTCCCGAGGGTCTGGCTGTGCTCAGTGCTGGCCATAGCTAGGGCAGGGCCAGGGCTTGGTCTGCATCTTCAGGCAGGCTTTGCTGATGGTTGCTTGCTCCTTCTCCAACCCACGTGGCTCCCAGGAAGAACCATCCTGCTTTCCAGGGGAACGGCAGCCTGGGTGGCGCGGGGCTGGCTGCTGGTTTTGCAGGCAGCAGCACTCCTTAGAGCAGCTCTGAGAAGAGATCTGAGGGGCTGCTGACACATGGTGGCCTTCTGAGACGTGCTGCTAAAGCTGGCATCAGCCTGAGCGGAGAAAACCCAGCAGGGAACGTGGTTCTGGGATGATGCTGGAGGCTGGTGTTCTGCAAGAGGCGCTGCTTTCACACCCAGCTCCTGGTCACCAGCACATCCCTGTCCCACACGTTGTGGGGCATCTTTGCTTCCTCCAAGGTTCAGAAGTTTGCCTGCAAGGCATTTGGCCACTGGAATAGTTCCCCCTCTGCCTGTTGCTTCTTTTATTCCCCTTTTCCTTCTCTTTTAAGGTGAACCTGTCTGATTGCTACAATGTGATCGTGTTCCTGGCCCCCAGTGTGGTAAGTCAGTCCCTTGCACCCTGACTTGTTCCGGGCGAGCTCGAGGGAGGGTTGTCTTAGAAAAGAGATAATCTGGGACAGTGGCAGAGACTCTTTAAAAAATAAGACCAAGTGGGCACCACTGTGAGTGGTTTGGTGTTCAGCACCACTTGAATTTATAGAATCAGGAATCAGTTAGGTTGGAAAAGACTCTTAAGATTGTTGAGTCCAACCGTTAACCTGACACTGCCAAGCCCACCACTAAACCATGTTCCCAAGTGCCAATGTACAGGTCTTTTAAATGCCTTCAGGGATGGTGATTCAACCACTTCCCTAGGCAGCCTGTTCCAGTGCTTCACAACCCTTTCTGTGAAGAAATTTCTCCCAGTATCCAATCTAAACTTCTCCTGGCACAGCTTGAGTCTGTTTCCTCTCATCCTATCACTTGTTACTCAGTCCTAGTCCCAACCATACACAGGGCTGGGATCAGCCCTATGTTTTGAAAGGGTCTTTGGTTGCTGCTGCCTGCTTGGGACCCACCAGCTGTGCCGAGAAGCTGCCCTGTGGTCCCTGGTGGCACTGCCATGACGGGACTGTTTCCTAAGGCCGCCTGGCCCTGGCTGTCTCTCTCTGCAGAAACCTCCCCTAGCCACCAAGCTTCTCGCAGAACTCCCCGACGAAGCCCGGGTGGTGGCTGGACGCTTCCCCTTCCCCTCCTGGACCCCCACCAGCACCCTTGGGCAGGGGCTGGAGCAAGTCTGGGCCTATGACATGAAGGAGGTGCGGCGAGCAGCACAGAGCAGCGCAGAGGGAAGCCCAGTCTAACAGCAGCCTCATTAAGCCTGGCATTGAGTCAGGGGTAGGGGTCAGAGACTCTCCGGCCCTTGGGCTCAGCTCAGAACAGCAGTGGGAGGGCTGCTTGGCCAGGCTTTTTCCTGGGGACTTGCAGGGTGGCAGTCCCTCGGTTTTCCTGGAATTATCACAGGATTTAAGGGCTAAGTCACCAGTGCCTCTTTTCTGTATGTTTGTTACTTAGTTAATTTTTCAAAATAAACATTTGGTTAGTTCTCCCCTTGAGACTTTCGCTTTGCCGTTGAGCTTCATGGTGCTCCTGAAGCCAGAGCAGCTGCTGCTTCTGGCTTCAGGCTTTACTCTGTGTCCCTTTGAAGGCGGCTCAGGAGAAAGTTAGTCCAGCTCACCTCCTGCTGAAGGATCGGTGGCCCTGCTCACCTTATAGGACATTCCCTTTTCCATTCAAATACAGAGGAAAAAAAGAGTTCACAGCCCATTCCCTTTGTCTTTGACCAAAGCCTAGCTTGAACCAGCCCTGGCTTATCTCTTAGAAGCTGAGGGGTGCAAAGGCAGGAGCAGAGTTAGCCCTTGGACTCTGGTCTGGGTCTGACCCAGGAGAAGTGTTATCACAGGAACAGGAACCTGTCCCTGCAGCCCCACAGTTGCTTGGGAACCCGACCCTGTGTCCCGAGGCATGATGTGCCCAGGGAACAGCAGCATTCCTACAGCTGAGGGGCCAGAGGATAGACAAGATGCAATTGTCTTGTCTCATTTTAGTACTGTGAATTTGAGACTGAGAACACCCACATGGTTTCCCTCACTGTGCCTCCCAGCTCTCAGCCAGGGAAGGATACTTGCCCTGGCCAGTCCACACCACAGAAAGCTCCTTCCTTTTAAATCCCGCTCTTTCCTATGATCGTGCTGCTCCTCAGAGCTGTGGTGAAGAGCTACAGTTCATGGCTGATGGTCCTGGCTCCAGGCAGTGAATGAGTATCAGCACCCCCAGCACCAAGCACGTGTGGCACCTCACCATCTGTGAACTTCCTCAAGTTGAGGATCTCCTGCTTGTACCTGCAGTGGGGAAGCAGCACCATCAGTGCCCGTGTAGTCACAACCCTGAGCCATCCATTTAAACGTACACTGTGCCTTGGGTTTGCTGTGTGCTAAGGCCATGCAGTTAATGCAGAGCAGCCAGCCCAGGCACTGAGCCACGCCGGGAATGGAGCCCTGATAGAAAACCACCACCTTTTGCCATGGAAAAGGTGTTTGTCAGCTCTGCCAGGTAACGATACCAGCAACACGTCTGACCTGCGTTCACAGCCAAGCTGGCTCGGGAGTTATGGCAGGCACAGCTGGACCACTGCTTGTTCTCACCCTCCCTTACCCAAGCAGCTGTTCTTCCTGCTTCAGGGCCTGAGGAGCTGGGGAGGAGAGGACCATAGATTAGGGGTTGCTGGAAGGCTTTAGATTTTAGGCAACCCCTCTCTTAGCTTTCTCCAAAGGATGGGTGAACACGCAGGGAAGGAGCCATGTGGCTGGGCAAGCCAGACACTGCCCCCCTGCCCTGTGGAACAAGGGATGGTGGCAGCTGCTCGCACAGCTGGATGTGCTGCAGGACATCAGCTGTGCCGGCAGCGCGGTGGGAAGGCAGCAGCCAGGTCAGGTGCTGACAGAATGGAGGGCACAGTGATGTTACTGGCAATTAGCCTGGGAGATAAACTCGGAGCACAAAGCAGAGGACACGTGAAGGGGGATCCTACTGTCTCACCTTGCAAGATGCTTATCTATGTATTCCTGCAGCTCTGACACCTGCTCTTCTGCCATGATCGCCCGAGTCAGCAGCTGGCTTCTCTCCTGCTCCAAATCCTCCTGGAGGGGCAAAGAAACATGGAGAAAACAAGGAGCTCTGTGAGATGCGCACAAAGCTGCTCAGTCACTCTCTGCCAGGTGAGACTGACCACTCCCTCATCACTCAGCTCCAGCACCACTTGTTAAGCTACAGAAGCAACCAAAAACTGATGTGCTCCGGGAAAGGAACCTGGTGACAAGAGCGACAGTGCAGCTTTCTGCAGGCACCACTACCCCAGGGCGTCGGCCAGGCAGATCAGGCAGCAGGCAGCCTTCCCTGGCCAGAGCACAGGCATGGGGGCCAGTAACCCCTGCCTGCCAAGCCAGGATTGACTCCCTCAGAAGCTTCACAGACAACTGGAGAAGCAGTTGCTAGATTTGGCACTCAGATGCAGCTTTCACACCTTCCTACTGTTAGTTTGTTGCAAAGGGAAGTGACCTTCCCTTTTAGATAAAAACACACTTTTTCCCATGGTGTCTCTGGGCAGTAGATCACCAGTTTACCCAAGCTAACCTCATAGTCCCTGTGTCACCAGGAGGATCTGAGGTGTTTGACTGAGCTTACCCCTGAGATGCCCAGGAGCAGGACCTGCTCCCAGTGCAGTGCTCCAGCCTCTCAGTCACGGCCTCTCCTCCTGACCCTCTACAACTCCCTGAAAGGAGGGTTCAGAAAGCTGAGGATGAGTCTCTTGAACCAAGTAACAAGCAACAGGCCCAGAGGGAATGGCCTCAAGCTGCCCAGGGCAGGGTCAGGCTGGCTCTGAGGAAGGATTTCTTTGCAGAAGGGGCTGCTGGGTGTTGGAATGGGCTGCCCAGGGCAGGGGGGAGTCCCCATCCCTGGAGGGGTTAAAGAGTCGGGTTGACCCAGCGCTGAGGGATCTGGTGGAGTTGGGAACGGTCAGTGTGGGGTTCATGGTTGGGCTGGAGGAGCTTCAAGGGCTTTTCCAACCAAGATGATTCTGTGATTCTTTTGGCTGCAAAGATACACACATTTTAGGTGTTTAGCTTCATGTGACCAGAGAATGATGGAGTGTTTCCTTAGGCTGCCGTGGACAGAGGAAGGCACAACATGGAAGCGGGCTGGTAGGACACCTACAGCCTCATCTACCACAGAAAACCAAACCTCTGCTTGGTTTTCCCTGTGTGTGGCAGTCAGTGTAGCAGGGATACCAGCACCAACTCTTCTTCCCACCGCTGCCACCACTGACAGATGGCAAACCCCACCTCAGCCAAGCCCTCTCCCAGCGAACAGCATGGCGGTCTCATGGGTGCTGTAGTGTGGCGTTGCAGGTGGGGAGAGTTCTCCTCCCCACTCTGGGCCACCCCATTCCCAAGTGCAGCACAAATGTCCTTACACCCAGGGGGAACCAGATTGGGAAGCTGATTCAGATTCAGACTAGACTTGAACCCGGTTGAATACAGACCCAGTTCGTTATACAGATGCCTAAATGCTCGTGCTCAAACACAGGAGGGAGCAATACAGTGCAGCAATGAGCACCTGTAAGGGCTTCTCTCCTTTTAGTAGCAGGGACAGTAAAACATTCATACATCACCAGCTGGGGACCTGCCAGTATCACTTGGTGGGCTGAGGCCAAAGCCACAGCAAGGCTCCATGGAAAGCTTTTCTGCTCCAGACTGGAGCAGCATATTGCCCCCAGGACAGCAGCTGGCTGCAGCAGCACATCCATGACCTGTGGGTAAGCGATAAGCTTTTATTCAGATGCGCTGTTCCAGACCTTTACCTGGGTGGTATGAGTGAACTCCCGGAGCTGCTTCCTGACCTCTGCCCAGCCCTCCTCATCCAGGTGCCTAGGAGAGAAAAGCAGATTTTGATCATACCCAGATGTTCAAATCCAGCCCATCTGCAGGCCACACAGCTCTTCAGGGGCTGACACAACTCATGCCCATCCAACCATAAACCCCAGCACTCTGAACCTTTTCTCTCCTGATACCCCAAACTTCTTGGGGCATGTGGTGCCATCCTTGTGCCTGGGCACGAAAGTCACAGCTCTTCTGCCAACCTGGGATTCCCCACTGTGACGGCTGGGTTTGTTCCAAGTTCACATCAACACCCATACATCAGAGGACTCCGTGCAGAAAAAGTCCTTAACCTGACACTGCAGGCCTGAATTTGATGGAAATAGAGAGTGATCAATGCTAAATGCTGGCGCTTTTCATGTTTTGGAGCATAAACCCACTCATTCTGGTCAGCGAGCATGATAGGTGAGCTGTCTGTGCAGCCCAGCCGTGGGAAAGTTCTTCTTATTCTGTCTCAGTCTGAATAAGCAAAATACAGGTCACATCTGATGCTCGGGGAATTTGGGTTGTATGCAGGAAGGAATGCATTGTGCTCAAGAGTGGCTCCGCTGCGACTGCCAGAGTTCCCTCTGGTGGCTGCAGCCTCCCAGCCCAGGCACCCGGGAAGTCATGGCTGGGATTTCATGGGAGCAGAAGCAAGGGGAACAATAAACAGTGAAGCCACGCAGCTGATAAAGATGAGAAGCAGCAGGAATTATAGCTGAAGTGCTGTGGTAACACTGGGCTTCGTGTCTCTAGCCAGAGGAACAAGGTAACAGCATGGAGAAACCCATCAGCATGCAGAAAAAAAGTGTCTGAAATGTATGGAGTCTCTTGGCAGCTAAAACAAGCCACCTTAACAACAAGATCCATCACTAAAATTCAGGTTCTGGTCTTTCTGTGTCTTGTTCCTGAGTCTGCCAAAATTAATGCATCTCTTCAAGGACAACTATAGCTTTTCAGTGTGGAAAACATGGCAGAGCCTGGTTAAGGCTCAAGGTTTTCTCAGAGACACACTTCCAGAGCCCTGTGGTTCAGGCACTGACCAACTCCTCAGTGCTGGCATCCAGTTAATGAAATACCTGACATGTTTTCTATCAAATTTTAAAAGGCTGAAAGCTCCAGCTCAGATTTCTCCTACATTTTGTTCCACCTCTCCACAGCTATAGCTGATAAAGTTTCAACAGAATAATGGAGCAGAGGGAAGAGACTCATCAAAAATGAGCAAATAAAGGGCATGTCAGGAAGCCAGGGAGGTATCAGTGCAGGGTCATCTAAGGGTTCCAGCCCAGCTTCTGCACTGGAAGGGAGGAGAAACAAGACCATCCCAAACTGGTGGTGTTTCACTTGCCTTTCTGAGGTTGTGATCCACCAAAGCATTTGGGTGTATGCTTCCCTTCAGCTTCTAAAGAGATCAGGGGGACTAAAAACCTGATTAAACCAAACATGTGCTTAAGAGCTTTCTTGGATCAAGGCCCAAATGACCAACTCATTTCACCACAGGAAATGCTGCACTGAGATGACAGCTGGCTTTTCTTCTCAGATGAGTCCCTATCAGCTCAGTTTCTCCCTATTTATTACTGTCTCCAAGTAAAGCAGAAAAGACTCCTCAATCTACACAGCAAGGAGAACTCAGAATTACAAAATATCCCGAGAAATAAACAGCACTTACTGCTCAGGAGACAGTGGAAAGGCAGAGGCTTCTTTCAGTCTTTTCTGAAAGCAAAGGAAGAACAGTATTCCCGTAAGCATTAAACCATTGCATTCTCACCACAGACCCTGTTACTTTGAAGTGGCACAACATATCCTAGCACTCTAACAGCCACCAGTGCCCTGGCAAGGAAGTGATGTGCAGTACAATCTTAAGGTTTAGGTCTCCCATCCTCTGAATTTTTAAATAAATGCATCTCACACAAATGAAGAGACATGTCTCTGCCCAGGGAGAACTAGTGGGAGGATGTGGAGCTGGCTGGTGTGTTTCTGACTGTGGTCTCCTGCTCAGTTAGCTATTCAGATTGAGACAAAGGCATTCCAGAACAGAAAACCCCATCCTATCCTCCCTTACTCACCTCTTCTTTTAGCAGTGAATCCACTGGCCTGGCAGATCTCGCACAGCATCTGCTACCCCTCAGCCCTCGCAGAGCTTAGCAACCCTCATCTATGGGGCTGCCCAGCCTCCCGGATCTAACTGTAACTCACGCCTACGCAGCAGGGTTGAAGCAACGAGGGGACTGCTAGGACATCCTATCTCTTCCCAAAATGAGAAAGTGAGCAAACACTGCCTCTGCCTGTGCCACAGACACAGCAACCCCCCAGGGAATGCCTAAGGAAGAGGCTGAATCTATCACTTGTGGGACTCTCCCCACCGCCCCCCAGTTTCACCACTGCAGAAACCCAAGCAGCCCAGCCACCACCTTCTGCAATTCATGTAGCTGCATCTCCAGCTTTGCTTTATCTTCCCGCAGCCGGTTCAGCTCCCGGGTTGTGTTTGTCAGCAGTTCTGGGTCTGTGATGGAAAAGTGGAGCTCGGCAGGGCCACAATCCATAGTGCTGCTGCCCAAGGAGCGGATCTGCTCTCGCTGGAGCCTGTAACATGCCCAAGGGGTTACTCCCTGGTAGCTTTGGTTAGGTAACAACACTGAGCATTTCTGCTGCTGATGGAGGTACCATTTGCTTGGGACCTGCTGGCTTCTGGCCACCAAGAGCCAATCCACCTGCAAAGGATAAGTGGGAGAGCCCAGCAGTATGCACAATATTCCTGGGAGTGTTTCTGAGGGGAGCTTGTCCTAGAGCTATTTGTGGCTTTTATGTCACAAGAATTTCTGCTGCTTCCCACAGCCCAAGCTGCTGAGAGCTGTGGAGCAGAGCTGAGAGCACTGCAGGGACAGGCTGGGAGGCAGGAGTTATTTGTGGTACCTCTGCATTTCCACACCATCCAATGTGGAATCAATCTCTCAACCTAAATTTTACACAGGAGAAACATATGTGGCAAAGCAGCTCCAGGGGGTCCAGAGCCCTGACACGCAGCTGGAGACACCTTGCTCCTGGCTTTTGAAGAGCAGGGAGATAAACATGCACTCCAGATCCTCTGCTCCACCTGGGAGCCCCATTTGCCTCCCTCTTAGCCAGGGGTCTGGGTGCTACAGGGAACTTCCACTTGGTCCTTCACAATAAATTGAAGAGACAGATGTAGCCCAAACCCTGGCTTAGCCCTACCCATAAGCAATCAGCAGGTTCTCATGCTTCTTGACCAAGTTCTTCAGGCGTTTCTTGTAGCCACGTGCTGCTCTAGCTAGCTGCTCTTCCCGAGACTTGTAGGAAGCTCTGATATCCTTCAGCATGCTGTCCACAAAGTATTTCATGGGAGCACGATCAGCTGGGGCTTTACTAGGCCCCATTACATTGCTGGATTTGGTGTCCATGTAGTCCTTTAAACACACAGAGAAAGAAACAGAGGTGACCAAGTCACTCCCTAAGGCACATAACCCATTTCCCACAAAGAAGGTCCAGGCATATTTGTGCTAACAGCACAGAGAACAGGGCATATCTTCCATTTTTGAAAAGCAGGAAAGACTAAATAACTTCCAGTGTATCCCTTCAAGCCAGAGAAGGTATCTGTACTGTATCAGTGACCTGCCTAGGGAAACACGGATTGGTGTTGGGAGTTACCATTTCTAGTCCCGTATTTTTTCCACTGTGCCCCGCTCTCACTGCTAGCTAGGAGATGCTTCAACAAGCCTCTGTTAGAAATGAAACTGTTCTTAACAGTAAAATTTCCTTTGCTTAGTCTCCTGATCCATCACCACACTGTGTCCTTCAGTACCAGCCTTCTCCCAGCACAGAAACTCTTGTCAAAACCTGCTTACTGCTACCTAGGGGGATAGAAAGAGATTTCTTCCCGGTCTCACTGCTCAGTATAATCAGGTATCTGTGTGTGAACCTGCCTGAATCGCCTGCTTGTGCTGAGTCCTCACCATGCTCTGTGAGCCCTACTCTACATCAGAGCTGCTTGTTCTTAGAGCAGGTCCAGGCACTGGCGTTACACGGCTCTGTCGCTGACCACGGAGGCTGGCAGAGCTCCCTGCGAGAACAGCAGCAGAGTCACCATGGAGGCAGCGACAAAGCCAGAAATGGCATCACCTGGCCTTGCCAGGGAAGTTGTCAGGGCAATGGGGATTAGAAGCCAACTGGAAGGCAGCCGTAGTAAGTAAGAGGATCTTTCAATCCAAGTAATCTGACTTTTCTGTCCCAGCAGAAACTCAGACCATTCCGTGTGGCCATACAGGAAATCTGGGTGGGGAGGGGGGATGGCATCTCCTCCTCCAGGCCAAGCTGAGGGCACAGAGCCCCCTTCCAGCTGCAAGCACGGCTTCCCAAGCTGCAAGCTGGGCTCCCCAGGCCCCACTGCTCTGCTCCCCAGCCCAGCAAGGAGGGGAACAGCAGCAGCCTGCAAGAAGTAGGCAGCCTGCATGGAGAGACCTTCCCAGGCCAGGGCAGCCCCTAGGGCTGGGGGTACCCACCGCCACATCCTTGATGTACTGCACAAGCCGGGAGCGATATTCCTCGTTCAGCTCCTTCAGATGGAGCTGCAGCTGGGAGTTCTCTGCCTCCACCTCTTGCAGCTGGCTCTGGGAGGTGAGCAGCACCTAAGGCACAGCAAACACATTCGCTGCTGCCCTCATCCTCTGGCCAAGGGGCACTAAGAAACTCTCTAAGAGTTGGGGGGCTTCATTTCCAGCTATTCAGCTTCACTAAAACTAGGAAGGTGCTGGGTTTTCACAGGACTCCACTGGAAATGCTTATAGTCTCTATTCCCCTGCTACCTTCTGTCATTTGCAATCCCTCCCCCCCTCTGGTGATTTCACCAACTCTTTCTAAATATCAGTGAACAAAATTCCTCCCACCACCTGTGGCAAGCAGCACCTTCCACCACGTGCATCGCACCCCCGGGAGAAGGAAACTGCGCAGAGAGGAGCACCTTGGTATGACAAACTCCCTGAAGAGGGAGACGTGTCAGAGCACCTCGATACAAGACATCCACCCCCTGCTAGCCCCAGGAGAAGTGCATGGCACCCATGAGGAGTGGATGAGCAGGGACAGTCCCAGACCCTGGGTGCCAGAAGGAAGCCTGCTCTTACTCCTGACTGCTCCGCCAACTTCTGCTGGGTGTCCCCAATCGCTCCCTTTGCCTCCTGCAGCTCCTTCCCCATTGCGATCCTGGGCACACAGGAAGAAGATGTGTTTATTTAAAACCCCCAAACTTCTCTGTAGGTCCAAAGCAGCCAGTTTTGGGAAGGAAATCGCTACAGGATGACAGAAATCTCTCAGCAGCTGCTGCCAGCCCCCAGCAGCCACAGAGCTCTCGCAGCCAAAGGTAAATGTCCTCCCCAGTCAGAGAGTCTAGTTCTGTGGTGTCCTGTGGCAACCTTTTCTGGGACACTGACCCCATCCCAGTCTTCCTATGGAATGAGCGCTGTGGGGGCAAGGGCTGGGGCTGGATTCCTCTCTGGGCTGTCACACATTAGCTCTGTGTGCCACAGAAGGTGGATTTTCAAAGGTGCCTGGGCCAGTTGAGTACCTAAGTAGACTTTTAAGCAGACAGCTAATGCTCTTGAAAGCCTTGAAAACATCAGGTTTTGCTTCCAGGCCTCACTTCTTCCAAGGGTGAATCATCATTTACCCCCCTTAACCCCACCAAAGGCAGGCTGCCTCCTCTCCCCAAGGACCAAATTCAGCTACAAGAAGCTCCATAAATGCCCAGCCAAACAGAAGGACGTGCCCTCAAACACTCACACTCTCTCTTCCAGCTTCTGCTGCTGCGAGTCATAGATTTTCTTCAGATTTTCAAGCTCCACTTTTATGTGATCCTGGTTTCCAAGCAACTGAGGGACAAACGAAGAAGAAGATGAAACAGAAGGCTGAGCTAAGAGAGGGACTTGTGAACAGGGAAGGAGCGAGGAGAGCCTCCAGCTGAACACAAGTCCAGCTGAGCAGTGACACACTAAGGAAAGGACAGGTTTAACTGGAGCAACCAGTGCTCTGCAGCATGCCAGAACCAGAGTCTGATCTGGAGACAGGGCACATGGAGGTGCACATGTGTCACTCTCCCAAGGGAAATTCTCATGCTAAGAGTCAGATTCCCAGCAGGAGCTGGTGGCGGAGCCCAAGCTGGTTTTGCCTGGGCTGCAGATGGGAAGGAGGCAGGGACATCTCTGTGCTCTCAGTTTTGGGTGCTTTATCATCCCCGTCTTTCTCAAGCATTGGCAAGAAGAAAATCAACAACTGTCCTCTGTACTTTTTGGCTGTTAAACTCCTGCCTCTGTACACCTGTGAGCACTGACTGAGGGAACGACAGTTGCCCTCTCTCAGCTTTTGTCTGCACAAGATCAGGAGTTATTCTAGTCCCATTTTTTCAATTGTACAGTTAAATTATTTTTTTTTTTTATAAATCAAGGCATTATCTCAACCTCAAAATTGAAGTCAGCACCAGGAGGTGCCAGCCACAGTCGGAATAAACTCCCCCTCTGCTTCCCCAAGGATCCAGCAGCAGACCCCCACACACTCACGTTTCTCTCCAGCTTTTGCTGCTCATGTTCAGAGGCAACTACATCTTCTGGCTGGTTTTAGTAAGAGACAGAAGAAGGTGCCTGTTAGATCCCTACTCTCCAGGGAGCTGGCAACAGGGCAGAGAGGTCCTCACCTTTGGAGCAGAAAGATGATGCACCATTGCTCTCGCTCTTTCCAGCTCGGCAGAGGCTTCATCGGCCATGGCAGGGGGGCAGTTGCCCTCTGTGCGGGGAAGGGTGCTCCTCGCATTGGCCAGGCTGAGCAGCTCTAGGCTGAGCTCTTCATTCTTCATGGCCTGCCAGGTCAAACAAGAAGGAAAGAGCTCTGAAATCCTGCCTCTCGGGCTCCACATGCTATCTGTTCAACACATACCCACTGTTCTTGGTGTGTACACAAGGCAGGCACTCACATCCCCTCCTGAAAGTAAGTTTTAATTTTAGTTTTCTCTCATGTCCAAAGATATCAGTGATTTTCTAATTCTCATGGAAATTCTCATCACCAGGCATCAGGATTATTCACATGTAACCTTACTCCCTTTGCCCATCTGGCTCTCGCATTCAGATACAGATCCCGGTGCCAGCCCAGCCCTGGGCACAGGGCTCTGACACCACATCTCCGTCCTGACCTCCAGCCCCCCTCCTCGCTCTAACCCCATACCCTCCACATGGCTTCCCAACTCTTCAGGCATGGCTTTCCCCATACAATGGCTCCGACCAGTGCTGGACTCCACAGTGTAAGAGAAGGGCCAAATCTCCATCCATCTAGGTTGACGCCACCCAGCTAATTCCAGTTTTGTTTGAATGCATCCCTCCAGCAGCAGGCAGCCCACAGCACCGTGTAGGCAGCAAGATTCAAAGTGATGCTGGTGTGAAGTGACACATTTCCAAAAGATAAAGAGGATCTGAATGAGAAAGGCTCTGTTACAGGTGATCTGGAAGGAACACTAGGGGAATTCATGTCTCACGGGAGGGTTTCTATGTAGATAACAAAGCTTTGATGGGGTTTATGACTGGGGACAAGCTTGAGTAATTGTTACCATGGCAGTGAATTGGGAGGATGGGAGGCAGAGGTCATCTGAGTCATCCGTGGAGAGAATAGCTTATCAAAAGATAGCACAGGGTGGGCTGAGGGAGAGAGGAGAGGAGAAAAGAGGCTGACAAAGAGGTGAGATATACAGCTGTGAAAACTGACAGCTACGCAGAGACAGTCTGCTTGTTCTCCAACCGAAAACGATCCATCTGCAGCTGTCAGCCCTGACAATTTGATCAGAGGGGGTCACACAAGCAGAGAAGTACCAGCTTAGCAAAAGAAAGAGGCAGCCCCAGGTTTGCGATGGGCTTCGCTGCCTCCCCTGCGCTCCCAGGCCTGGCCCAGCTCCAGGGAAAACCCCGGCGTGGAACCAGTTCACAGCCATTTGGGTTCCCTCTGAGCCTCACTTTGTACCGCCGCTGCAAACGGCGTAAGCCTGCTGAACAAAAGAGGAGGAGGAAACGGAGAGTCGAGGAAAGGTCAGAGTCTTGAAAAGGAAGAATTTACAGTGAGAGAAAACAGGCACAAAGTGCCTGACTGGCATCTTCTGGAAGGCACTTCCCCAGGGACCGGCAAGGCCAGCTCCGCCGCGCTCCTTTGCCTGGGACAGACACAGGGCGATGTGTGAATCGAGCCGTACAATGGGGGCCACGACAATTCAGAGGCTCTAACTGTTCCCGTACAAGGGACTGTGAATGAGCTCGCCGAGCTGCTTCTGCGCCAAGCAGCCATGACAACATATTGGCAAGGTCACAAGTAGCACTTGTAATTGGGAATGTGTAAAAGGTTCATTGTCTCCCCAGAAGAGCGCCGGGGAAGGGGAGGGGGCAGAACCACAGGCTGCTTTTCCCATTTCCTTCGGGAAAGTCCACACTGGGAAAATAATGAGCAAGAGGCCCATGCCGCAACAAGTCCTGCCAAGCCTGCCAAGTTGGAGCCTCTTTTGCTTCAGGCGGGGGATATTCAGTAGTTGGAGCCAAGAAACTGGGGTAAAACCCTCAGCCTACCGATTACAACCAGGGAATTCACCTTTGGCTTCTGGACCCTGCTCCACCAATTCTTCAGGATGCTCCCCAGGCACATAACTGAATCCATGTGCTTTCACTCTCTGAAACATTCCAGGATGCATGTGAAAACAGTGTGTTATTAACTGCTAACCTGCTAAACCCATCATTTAGAGATGTCAGCCACCTGAAAATCCCATTTTTGTCAAACATATGGCACCCCCTTGGGGACAAGAAGCAACGAAGATTGCTGAGTGCTGAGCTCTCTTCCCCGAGCCTGGCAGTACTGTGTCTCAGCAGCGTGCTGCCTTGCTGGAAGTCAGCTGCATGTGCTCTGCCTCATGCTCTGGCAGGACAACAGGAGAGGTTCACACCCCTGCAAGCAGCTGAGCTTGCCTCCTCGTAAGAAACTTCCATTTCTCAGTTTATGGGAGACAAACAGTAGCTTCACAAGAGTCTCTAACTCATTTGCAACGGGATGATCATGACCTTGAATCCTCCTCTACTGGAGTTTTGCAGACCAGTGCTCACCATACAGACAGACTGGACGCTGTGGAAACCATCATGCCTGGGGCCAGCCCCACATCTTCCCATCACAGCTCTGCACAGGCCCAGCACGGTAAACCAGGTCATCTGGCTGAACCAGCTAAACTATCTGCTGGGGGAGGGAGGCAGGAGGGTGTCAGTCATTCAATCCAAAAAGAAAGAGAAGTGGGAGTGGGGAGAGGGAGGAAAGAGAGGCAGGTCTATTGAAGTAGCTATTCTTGCCAAAGAAATACACAAATCTGGGTCCAAGAGACTTTAGTTAATAATTGCTGAGGTAAGAGTCACCAGGAAATTTGCTATATTTTAAGGAACAATCAGAAACTTGCTTATATTGAGTGGTTTTATAAACTTGCCAACCTCAAAAACTTCCAGGCCTCTTCCCGCCACCATATGAAATGAGAGTGACTACAATCAGTTCACGTGCAGCCTGCACAAGCCATGCAGAAAAAAGGGAAACAAAGCATGCTGGCAGTCAAGAGGGACCTGCGACGTGCACTCGGACCAGCCCCGCAGTGACCTCCTCGTTACTCCTAGTGACAGGGATCTGCGATGGCTGAAAAGAGAAAGGCTCTGACAGCGGGGTGCCCAGAAGAGCTTGGGGGTCAGCGTGGGCTCAGCACTGTCCCTGCTGAGCAGAGCAGGTTCTGCAAGCCCTGCTAGAAGGTGACCATGCTATATGAAATCCCCGGGCTCTGAAAACAAAACCATGCCCAAGCTACGCTGTCTCACAGCTGACAAACCTTACTGGACCTGAGCTGTGATATGGATGTGCAATCCAAAGCCAGCCAAGCTGTCTGTAAGTCAGGTAATTGTGAGATGGTGTCGAGAACACCTGAACGAACACTGCAGCCTGTCTCACCTCCTGGTCCAGCTCTTTGCCTAGGGCCAAGTAGTTGCTTTTCAAAATGATGTACTCATCTGCCAGCTCCTTCCGACTGGTCTCCAGAGCATACAGGCGTTCCTGTAAGGCATCTCGCTCCCCAGTGACTTTCTCACTGCAGAGCTCCAGCTCCAGCACACGGTTCTCCAGGGCCAGGATCTGCAGAGGGAAAGCAGCAGAATTAGACTGTGGCAGAGACCAGCAGCAATCACAGGGCATTTATTTGGGCAAACAGGTTCTGGCATGCTGTAACTTAAAGAGATATGAGTTCCATGTGAGTTTCATGGTATCTGGGGCATTGGAGGGGAATCCATTGCTCTAGCTAAAGCCAGAAGAATATGCCAAGCAAAGATGGACAGTAACAAACTGCAGTTCTGGATAAAGGTACTGGCAGAGCTGAAACCGGATACTTCAAACTTTTGGATACCATATTTTTCAGTTCAAATTTCTCTGCCTCATGCTGCTCCTTCATTTTGTTTGTCTCTATCTGGAGATCAGTGAGGTCTTTGGAAATCTAGGAGAGAACAAGGAAATCATTAAGCCCATGGACTGATTCTGAGGCTAACATACTGTTTCAACAGATCACACAGGGGAATTTGAGCAAAATACACCCCCTGTAGAAAGAGGCCCCAACATTTCCCACCAGATTTTCCACTGCAGATCTACTGGTCTCACATGCCTTCACAGCTCAGTTCTCTCCAGCTCCAAAAGTATTTGTTTTACCTTCAGTTTTTCTTCTTCACTGAAGACCATTCTGGCTGACAAATCTGTTTTGGAGCCAGCCAGCTTCCCGATCTTCTCCTGCACATCTCCAAGCTGGTACAGCCTCTCATTCCTATCCTGCAGCTGCACCTAGAGACACACAACAGCTCTGACAGCTGGTGCCAGCCTGCAGAGCCCCCCTCTCCCCCATGCTATTCTCCCACTGCGGCGCTGGTGGAAGAGCACAGCATATCCAGCTTTTCAGAGCCTGAATAGATTGTAGATGGGACTTTCAGCTGCCATTTTTCTCCTGAGATTAGGATTTCATTTGCAGAGCACTGGTTCCATGACCCAGGAAGGGGCTGCAGACCTTACATTTTTGTTAGCAAGATGCTGCACGTCCTCTGTCAGGGTACTTACGTTTTCATTCTTTGCAACACTTCCAAAATCCATGTGCTTGGAGGCCAGGATCTTTGCAGGCAGCGACAGAAGAGCAAAGGAAAGATCTAAGGATCTCTACAGCAGCAACTTTTCCCTCGAGGTCCAGCACAAGCAATGTTGCTATCAACTTTGGTTACTAGAGGGTGGTGGCATCCACTTTGATTTTAAGGTGGAGCCAATTATTACAGGCACCCCAGGAGCTCTTAGAGGAAAAGAAATTACACTTGTCAAGAGGTTTCTGTATTCCTAAAATGGCACACAGCAGATACTGAAACGAGAAGCTTAGCAGACACCCCCAGTGAAACAATATTGTCAGTTAGGAGGTACCACTCTGTTTATATTATGGACCATTCCCCAAACCTGGCTGTAGGGATGGCCTCCCTCTCTATTGCAGGGATCTTTAGAGAATTTAAGATCTGATTAACCCATTAATTAATCCATTAATTCAACCATCTGCTCCAAGACCATCCAGTAGCATCTAACATCAACTTGCTTCCAGGCATTTTTCTCTTGATCTCTACAGCCCTTGTATCTCCTGTGCCAATGAGCCATCCAAAGTGTGCCAGGATCTTTGAGCTCTGACCAAGCTACAGCTGGTGACAGGAAAGACCTTCACCAATTTATTGCTTCGCGTCAGAGATGCCATGTGGAAAACTATAAGTTTCAAAGCAAAGCATGCACTGAAACAAACTCTGATAGTCCAGATAGTGCTAGATCTGGGTTGCGCTGGTCTACACGCTGCCACTGACACCAACTGGTGATCATCCAGGCCTGAACAGGATAACTCCCAGGTGTGTGCAAAGCTAAAGGTACTTGAACAGTGTCTCTGGTGTAAGAGTGAGGGTAACAGAGAGCATAAGACATGGTGGATAATGCTGGAAGACCTTGGTGAATGGCAGCCATGGAGTAAAACTAATGCCAGTTTTTAATCTCCTCATTTTGGGCTTATTATCACTGCTATTTCTGTAGAGTGGGTGAGTTTAAGTAAGAATCTGTCTCTTACAGAAGAAAAGCTTTGACAATATAACATTCAGTAAGACCATAGCTCTGAATAACTCCTTAGTATCTGTCAAAGCTAAGAGGATGAAAGAGGGAGAGGGGCCATCCTGACAGAAGCTCTGTGCAAGCAGTTTACCAGCTCCTCACCAGTAGCATCTGGTCCAGGCTGTTGGAGAAGATCCTGTAGCCCTACAACGTGGATTGCATGACCAGCCATGGAAGCAAGACACAGGGATGAGCTCTTTTGGGGCTTGGGGGAAGGAGAAGCTAATGAAACATGCAATTACATCTTATTTTTCTGCAAAAGAACTTAACAGACCTGAAGTAATTTTATTAAGGTAATGAAACTGCTGATGAGAATTCACAGTCTCTTTACACCCACTGCTGAGCAGAAAGCCAAATTCACACACCGCCCACAGTGCTGGGGGCTCGGAAGTCTTTGGCGGGTGCTCCAGCACAAGAAGGAGCAGAGCCGCAGCTCCTCTCCCCAGGAACACTCTGTCTCCCAATGGCTCTCAGCCCCACATGGGCCCCCAAGGACAGGCACTCCCAGCCCACACCAGCCCAGGGATTGCACCAGCCCAGCAGCAGCGTGCCCAGACGCCAAGACACCCGACTCAGGAGGGTTGACACCCCACTCCATCATGCCAGCAAGGCCAGGTGCTCCTTGAGCTTCAGGGTGGCCCATTTCCTCTGGCAGATGGCGATATAAGACTAATGAACATACACATACACAGTACTATTTACAATCCTGCAGTGTCTGTGAGACAGGCAAAACCACCTTTGTGGCAGGTGCCGTACCAGCACCAGAAATGACAGTGACCACTTTTCCTGTGGTTTGGAAATATGAAGCAAATTTTTGTCCTGGTTGGCACCACAAACAGCAAAATCAGACAGAGGAATGAGGGTTTTGGGTGTCATTGCAGCCCAAAATCTCCATTGCTGCTCTAGAGAAAAAACAAACAAAAAGTATGTTTTGTTAACCACTAAAAGCTGAAATGCCAACTCTGCACTGAGTTTTTCTTTCATTCTTCTTGTCAAGGATACTTTTAACACAGCTGTTGTGGCTGGATCGTGAGCAAGCTCTGAGGTACAAAACTCTCACCCATCATGCAGCTCAAAGATGTGTAAACCACTCCCCAAATCCACACCAGCTCAAGAGGAAGCTGGTTGAAGATTTCAAAGCAATTAGCCCACCAGACCAATGCCCACTGTTTATTATCACCTCTCCTCCAGCAGCAGCCAGACTTGCCAGCCCTTGGCAGGGACACACACCTCACTCTGCCAGTGCCCTGGCCCTCATGGTGAGCCCTGAGTGAAGAGCCACTCGCCTTCATGCCTTCTCGGGAGCCTTCGGCAGGGCCCAGCACAGCGTTAAGACAGCGACTGGCTCCATCTGGCTTCCAGCGCCAGCAAAGTGAATTTGCATCCACTCCTGGGTCTAGCAGAAACCCCCTGGGCAGCCAACAGAGCAGCCTGCAGGCGGGGCTGCTCCGTGTCCAGGGAGCATCCCCCGGTGGGCCCATACGCTTGGGGAGCCTGGAGGTGCGGAGGCCGCAGCGGGTGTGGGGAGCTGCCACGGGCCGAGGCCTGCGCGGCCCCTCCTTGGCGACGCCTCTGGGGGCAGGCCTGCCC